ATATATATATATATAAACTGAGGACCTGACTTAACTTTGTTGTATTTTTTACCTGGATTACTGAGCATGAACTTTGATCAGATCTGAGCATTAAGACCTGTAGTGTGAACTTGCATAAATCCAGACTAGCATATTGTTCAGGTTACGTAATGCCAGAATTAGGAATTTTAAAAGACTTTCCTCCAGTTGTTATTTATTGTGTCATTGTTCATTTATGGAGTTAAAAAAAACCTACATTTTAAATATATACCCGTTATTCAACTTTTTTGTTTTGTCATTTTGTCGTTTCAGACCTCCAACAGGAACCGTTCCACAAGAAAGAACTGATCCTCACAGACCAGCAGCTCTGCAACCAGGAGAGGAACTCCAGCCTGGACCAGGAGGAACCAGAACTTCCACAGATTAAAGAAGAGCAGGAGTTCTGCACCAATCAGGAGGAAGATCAGCTCCAGCTGAAGCAGGAAGCTGATCCGTTTATGGTGATTGCTTTGTATGAAGAAGGTGAACCAGAACCAGACGGGGAGCATCTCATCTGTGAGAGTTCTGCTGGACCTGAGGACCATGATCAGGATTCAGGCTCAATCGAAAATACAGAGCACTCACCAAAAACTGATCACACAGACAGTCGTCATGGTAACAAAGCAGACCAACCTGCAACATCTGCAGGTTGTTCTTGTCAAATCTGTGGAGAAACTTTTATATACAATTCCTGTCTGATCCGACATATCAAGGTCCACAAAGTTCGGAGCCAGAACTCTGACACACCACACTACTGTTGTCCCACCTGTGATAAAAACTTCCTTTTTTATAGTAAGTTAGTCATCCACATGAGAACCCACACAGGTGAGAAGCCTTTTTTGTGCAAAATTTGTGGAAAAACTTTCAGTAGAAAAAGAAGCAATGACATCCATATGATGACCCACACAGGGGAGAGGCCGTATGTTTGTCAAACCTGTGGGAAAACTTTTATTTACTCTACAAATCTGAGAATGCACATAAAAAGGCACACAGGTGAGAAGCCTTTTTCTTGCGCAGTTTGTGGAAAAGGATTTAGTGACAAATTAGACTGTAAAAGACACCTGATGATCCACACGGGAGAGAAACCATATTTTTGTACAACCTGTGGAAAACGTTTTAAACGGACTACTCATGTGAAAACTCACATGAAAGTGCACACTCGCTGAGCTGACAGTTATTGGGTTTTATTCAAATTTAATTTACTCGTTAACTTGTTGCTGCATCTGAATGGATAAATTATCAGTTATCCTTCAGTCGTCATGCTGAAGGAAGTTTAACAACGTCATCATTTTTTATATGTTTATGTCTTAAATAATAAAAAGCAACTTTGCAGCAGATCTTTATGCACTCTTGGAACTATTTTACAAGTACAGTAGTCCCTCACTACTTCGCAGTTCGTTTATCGTGGACTCACTCTATTGCGGTTTTTCAAAATAAGATTGGACATGACACACAATTGGCTGAATGATGGATGAGCTGCACGATCGATATGGAATTTTTATTTAAATAAATTATTTTAAATTATTTAGCACCTCCTTCACCTTTGTGCAACCCATACTGCAGGATAAGTTTCCTGCTGCAGCTGATCAGCTGTTCAGCACGCATAGAAGTGGGCGTGGCCTAGAGCGCTTGCAGGTGGCAAAGAGCAGACAAGGCATGGAACTGAAATCATGATCTGTTCTTTTAGAGCGTTTAAAGTTTAGAAACATTGTTTAGAATATTGCAAGAGTGTGGCGAGGGTTTAAAATTCCTTTATTTATTCATATATATATATATATATATATAATAAAAAATAAACTACTATTCCTACTTCGCAGTTTTTCGCTTACCGCAGGTCTTCAGGGTACAAATCCCCCGCCATAAATGAGGGACTACTGTAAATCCAAAAAGTAGTTGAGCACAGATGCAGTTCATCAGGTTTTTTATTTATTTATCATTTATTAACAAGACATATTTTTTTGTTTACAAATGTAAGGGCCAAAATGACATATGTGTTGTTTAGCTGTTATGGTTGTACAGGTGTTCAGATTTGACCTATCCTTCAGGTAATTGCATGAGGGGCATGGTCACATGTAGCTGATCAGGTTCTTGGGGCCAGGTGCTGGGTTAACAGGTATTTTGTAAAAAAAAAAATTGTTGAGGCACAGTTTGGTGGATGGCAAAAGTCATTGTGTTAGTTTTAAAATAAATACGTAAAACACAAGTTGGACTCGGCGTGACTCATTGGAGCAGAGAAAAACCTACTCAGCCGGCAGCAACTTTATTTTGTGGATCGAAGTTGATACAACAAACAACTTGACCATTTTCATTTTTAAGCATCTCTCTGTTTTGTCCGTGCAGGAACTGTATAAATGTTTTATTTTAGGGTTTAATGAAGATGTAACTGGACTTTTCTTCTTCTTCTGTCCTTGATGTCTGTGAATGCACCCAGTATTCATTGGTTAACTGGACATCATTAACTTCACGCAGACTCTCCCACTGGTACATTTCCATCTTTAAATCACTTCTTGTTCTGCTGCCTTCATACATCTCCTCCTACATGTCTCTGTGTGAGTGCAGCTACAGCGTGCGCTCTCAGGACATCATTACCTGCAGTGTTCCCTCAGTGAGGACTGAACTAGACAAAAGGACCTTCTCCTACTCCGCTCCTGTTTCCTGGAATGTCTTGTAAAAAGACCTGAAGCTCTCGACCTTTGACCTCTCGGGTATTTTAAACAACTGCAAAGTTCATGGCAACAACCCAACGCAGACATGTTCCTGTTTTTAGTTTTTAACATCATTTTGTAATATAGCTGGTTTTTTTGTTGTTGTTGTTTGCATCTGAGGAGGGAGCGTGCCAAAGAAACCATCTTAACACCAACATAACTGGTTTGTTCCACTTTGGAGTAAGCTGTTGGGAGAAGAATCAGTTTTGTGTTGTGTGTTTCCTTGACTGATGAAGCCTTCTGGATGGAAGGTGAAACGTGTCGGCAAAAAAAGAAACTGTCCAGATGACCTGTCTGAAAATTGTTGGATTGTATACCTGGATTATTGAGCATGGACTTTTTTGTTTTTATATCTTTTTTTTTCTGTTTACTTTTTATTTTATATTCTTTTTATATGATTTCCTGTTGTTTGTACCTCGTCTGTGTTCTTTGTTAAATCAGGTCTCTCTTAATGATTCCTCGAGGCTCAATGAGACCAACCTGTAGAAATAAAGGTTGGATGAATGAATGAATCTACACAACCATAGAAATGCATTTTATTTCTGTTTTTAAGAATGTCTTTCTTTGATTTAAACCCTTATCATCTTCCGTCAGCTCGACTTTTCTTTTAAGTTTTTACACAATCTGTTTTATTTGCGATTTTTTTTTTCAGGTTCTAAGGTTAACTAAAGCTCCTAAACTATTGAATGTTTTATTGTGTAGATAAGTTATATGTTAGATACATTTAAAAACAGGCATGCAAAGTTATAAAGACTGGACAAAGGTCCCCACTAAGAAACGAAATCAGCACAATATTTGTCTCGTATTGATGTGTAGTGTAACTTGTCCTTCAACATTGTTTTAATTCAACCAAGTTGCTGTAAGAAGGCCAAACACTGAACTTTTCAGCCATATTTGTTTACCCATACAGACCTGCCTGATGCTGGTCTATGGGACTCAAGCTTCCACTTGGTTTTCAGCGGATTCAGTCGAGTGTTTATATGGAGTGTGGGTATATTGGTAGAAGGATGTTGGAAATGCAGCTGCCAGGAAAAGACAAAGATGAGACATGTGGATGCAGTTAGAGAGGACATGGAGGGAGTTGGAGAGAGGACAGAGAGGTGGAGAAAGATGACTCACTGTGGAGACCCTGAAGAGGGAAACGGTGAAAAGAAGTTTATATCGAGTGTGAACCTGCATTTCAATATATGTAAAATAAATCTGCTGTAAGCACTAGTTCATAATAACGTGATGATCGATTAATTCAATTCAGTTTATTTATATGCAGGCATGTTTATATTTATTATTTGTGTATATTTATTTATAATCTTATAATCTAGCTGTTTTTATTACTATTTTTGCTATCTTATTTTTTAAAAAAATTAATCTGTATGCCTTTTTATATTTGTCCATTGTTGTCATCATTCTTTGTTAAAATCAGGACTCTCTTGTAAATGAGTCCTCGAGGCTCAATGAGACTAACCTGTTTAAATAAAGGTTGAATGAATAAAGCACCAAATCACAACAAGTTGTCTCAGGGACTTTACAGGAACATTCACATAAAAAGTAAAGTTCTCTATCCAAGGAATCCAGCAGACAAGTTGAATCTTGGCTTCGTTGCAGTCTCCCATCCTGAGCAAGCACAGTGGAGACAGTGGAAAGAAAAACTCCCTTTAACAGGAAGAAACCTCCAGCAGAACCAGCTCAGGACAAGAGGCCACCTGCTTTGACCGGCTGGTTGAGAGGACAGGGAGGAGAGACAGACGAACACAGAATGGTAGGTCCAGGTGTAGGTCCAGGTCCAGGTGTAGGTCCAGGTCCAGATGTAGGTCCAGGTCCAGATATAGGTCCAGGTCCAGATGTAGGTCCAGGT